CCTAACAAATGAGCAGGAAAAGGATAGAGAACCTTCAAGTGAGACGTCCTGAAACTATCTGAGCCCTGCCACAGCCCTCACATCACACTGCCTGGTGATTTCTCCAGCAAAAGCCACCAACCTTTGCCCTTTTATCTCCTTTTCCTTTTTCCTCCTTTGCCGACCTGGAAAGGACCGCTCCGCTGCTGTGCCATGCAGTGAGAAAATCCTGTTTCCTTAGGATTCGCTTGGAATGGTTTTACCTCCATCATCCTTGATGATAGGAACCCAGAGAAGGAATGGCAGCAGCATGACACAGCCAGAGCCTAAACTATTGAGGAGCCTTGGGAAAAAATATATGGAAAGGGCCTTTGGGCAGACAATGATGTATGTGCTGCAACGCATGGACATTTAACAACCCAGAAGATACTCCATGTTCTTTGCCCACAGGGCAGTGGAGGCATCTCCAGCTGAACAGGAGAAGGAGGAATGGAGCAGGTTAGCAGGACAGGCCGCCATCCAGTGCTTCTTCCCCTTCTCATCCTTTTAACAACCTTGGCCCACGTCTGCCAAGTCAAACACGAGTCATCTGGGCCAAAATACCCCGTGGCTGGGTACGCAGTGGCCAACAACTTGTTCCATAGGTCCCTACCGTCTTGCAGCCTAAATATATTAATTTTATTTGCTTTCCCTGGGCTTCCCGGGCTGCTGCATAATAACTGTGGTTTAGCTTGAGGGGGTTTCTTTTCGTTTTTTTTCCAGCTTGCTGTGAGCACAGCCAAGACATCTCACTCGAAAGAGAAGGAGCGTTTCATTCCAGCAAACCTGTGAAAAATAAGCCTAACACACCAGTTGTCACCAATGATTTCTGTCGTTTTGCAATCCTGTGTGATGCTGGTGCCTCTTGACAGCGCGTGCCTTGTAAATCGATGGATGTAAATGCCTCAACCCCAGGAATATCAAACCAAACCAGCAGCGTTGGCCATAAACGAGTCTCCATAAGAAACTGAGGCCTTCAGCAGCCTGCCCGGCTGCATCCTGCTCCGAAACAGCGGCGGCCTCCACGTTTCAGTGATTTAATAGGGCTAGAAGAGAGATCCATCAAAGGTTACAGGCTCTGCCTGGACTGCAGCGCAATCCGAACCTACAAATTAAACTTGCAAAATGCTTTTTTCCACCAGATGACACATTCTTGCTTTACAGGGGGATGGGGGATAGACCCACAGCAAAATATTACAGCCCTGCAGGGAGAAAAGTTGTATTTGGGAAAGAGATGCAGTGTGCGAGCCCTGTGCTGCCCCACGGGTGACGTGAGGGGCCACATCACATGTTATTGGGCTTCAGTTTCTTCTTGCCTTCTTTTCCAGAAGATGCAACCCAGAAACAACTGCAGATATGTGCATGCAAAAGGGAATTGCTGGGGGGTAGGTGCTTGCAATGCTCTGACTCGGGGCTACCTCTTGTCTCTGAGCGGGTCCCTTATGGGGACCGCCGAT